GGTGGGGGTTGGGGTTGGGGGGGATAGCATACCCATCATTGTGGTAGAAGTAGAGGGTAGGAGAGAGAGAGGTTATGATGTGGATGCTGACATAGTGGAAGAGGTGAAGCAGTACAGATCTGAACTTAGGACCAGGGATAGCCTGGGTCACCTAGTGGAGAATTACGAGATCTCTTCCCGAGTGTTAGTTAGGCCAGCTGGGATAGAGGAGAGGGCGTGCTCTACTCATCGGGATCATTGGATGCCCGTGTATTCCCACTATTTGATAGCGGGACTCAGGTTTCCACTTCCCGAGTTGCTAGTAGGTTTGCTGTTAGATTATAATATAGGGTTGACACAATTAGTCCCCAACGCTATGAGGGTAATAATAGGATTTTTAGTCTATTGCCGAGCTCAGGGGATTAATGTGCCAACTGTAAATATGTTTAAGTATTTTGTTGTTTTAAAGGGGGGGTAGTAGGAGGGATAAGGGGTGGTATTATTTCACCCCTAGGGTAGCTAGTAAGGAGAGTAGGTCTTTATTCACTGCGGGTCCTTCATCCATTAAGGGATGGAAGGAAAAATTCTTTTTTGTAGATGATACTGAGTGGGAGAGGGGGGATGCCGAGGTGAGGGAGTTAACATCCTAGAAGGCTAAAAGAGCCAACCAGAATAGATTTAGTTTAAACGAGGATGAAGAGGAAGAAGTGAGGAAGTTGGTGAGGAAGTTGGTGAGGAAGGGGGGGATTTACTGAACACTATGGACCTCACCAGCGCACAATGCATAGAAGCTGCTGAGCTCTATGGGCCAAGCGCTTTAAGTGAAGGTTGGTTTAATTTTGCATTGTAGTACTGAATGTAGAATATAGAAATGTGTGATTAATATTGTGTTTTCTTGCTTTGCAGCTGAAATGGATCAGTTTTTGAACACTGCTGGAGGAGTGGTCATCCCCAAGAAGCCAAGGAAGAAGTCAAAGACTTCAACCAAGCAAGTGGATGAGGTGAAGACTGGGAAGGAGGTAGTGCCCACCACTTCAGCTGAGGCGGAGGAGGAGGTGCCACAGTTGAAGAGGAAGGGTTGGGAGGAGAGGAGGGCACTATAGAAGAAGAAGAAGGTGGTGGAGGAGGAGAAGGGGAGCGAGGTTCCCCAGTTCGTACCTCAGCCTCCTCCTGTTGAGCTGGACCCTGAGCTCAGACAGTTGGAGGAGGGGGCTGAAGTACGGGCTCCCGGTAAGGGAAAGGGTCCTGTTCCCCCAATGGCGTTTCAGAGCAGCCTGTTTGAAGCGAAAAACATGACGGGGGCTAGGTGGTTCATCAACAGCACCTTCCTCGAAGTGGACAAACGCAACGCACGGGACGAGGCTTTGAGATACTGTGGAGCTTCCGTGGTAAAACATGTTTTAGAGGTATGTTGAGTTATTGGTGTTGTTTGTTTAATCTCTTCCTTTTTCTCTTCTATTTCTCTTAATCTCTGCGTTGATTTGCAGAGCGCGAGCTGGGTGAATGGTCTAGCCCAGGAGTTCATGGATAGCGTGAAGGAGCGCTCGCTCTTGCAGAGGCAGTGTGACTAGCTGCAGAAGGAGAAAGAGGAATTGGAGAAGAAGAATAAAGAACTGCAAGAGTCGTTGAACGAGGTGGTTCAAACTGTGAAACAGTTGGAGCAGGAGAGGGCTTCCCTGAGCACCAAGCTCGTCTTTGAGGAGAGCAAACGAAGGATCTCTGAAAGCGAGCATGAGGCTCAGGCGCAAGAAATAAAGCTGATGAAGGAGGCTTTCTTGGAGCTGAAGGAGAATGTGCAGACGTTGGTGCACAATGGGATGAAAGAGCACATCAGCAACTTCATCAGCTCCAACTCGTTTAACAACATCGTCAACTTGTACTGGCTGCCCACTGCCATCATTGCATTCACGGACTGTAGGAAGAAGGTGAAGGCAGAATATCCCGAAGTGGATATTACAAAGATCACCTTCGGCGAGCAAGAAGAAGGAGTGGAGGAAGACGGTGAGAGTATGTCAGCAAACTTCCGTCCTCAGATCAAACTGAGGTGGGAGCATGATGCAAACGGACGTGCTGTTTTCCCTCCCCAATTCGACTTCGAGTTCGTTGCAGTGGAGGAAGAAGGGGTAGAGGTAGAGGAAGACGAGGTGGAGGGGGGAGTGGAGGGAGCTGAAGTGGATGAGAGCCAACCAGTTCCAGAAGTGGAGATTCATCCAGTTCCTTCCGACGATGAGCAGCCAACACAACCACCTCTTCCGGCTGAGCAGGAGCCAGTGGAGCCACCTCTCCCAGTAGAGAAATAATTTTGTTTTTTAATTTTTGTAAAAACATTTAAACAGTTTGTAATACCGTTGTTACTTTAAATGAAAATTCAGTTTTGAAATCATATATTTGTTTATGTTTGCTTTATATTTTTGTTATTTTTTATTAATAAAAGAACTGAGATTATTTGAGACGTGATTTGAAAGAAAGCTAACGACTTCAGAAATGAACCAAAGGGAAGTAAGTCACTTCAGACGAATTACGAAGAAGTAAGTCACTTCATATAAATTAGGAACAAGTACATCACTGCGAACGAATTAAAAGGAAATGAAGTACTTCATATGTGAAGTGACATTTATTAACAGAAGTGAGGTTCAAGGAATAAATGAACTGATTGACCTCGGATATATAAAATAAGAGGTAAAATGAATCTCAGTAATCACGAAGTCAGAATCGTAAAGAACAGTAAGACATAGATCACTTGAAAGAATTTTATTAGGGGTAGAATTTCTTCAAGTTATTGACATTCCAGACTCTAGGAACCCTCTTTCCTTCAACGTCTTGGAGGACATAGACACCAGGATGTGGCACCTCAGCCACGGTATAAGGGCCTTCCCAATTCGGGGCGAGTTTGCCAAAACGAGTTTCAAACCCTGTTAGGCCAGCTTTTCTGAGAACAAGGTCTCCTACTTTAAATGCTCGAGGGTGGACTCGTTTATTGTAGAAGTTGGCTAATTTCTGCTTGTATACAAGAGTTCGAAGCCGAGCTTCTTCTCTGACTTCAGCAAGCAGATCAAGGTTTTCCTGAAGCAGTTGTTCATTTCGTCCTTCATCGAAATGGGTGACCCGGAAGCTTGGGACTCCTATTTCAATAGGAATGACTGCTTCGGTGCCAAAGGCCAGGTGGTAGGGTGTTTCACCTATTTCACGAAATTATATGCTTTAGAATATGCTTTACATATTATGCATATTTGATCTAAGGTATAATTTTAGGTGAAGGAGGGGGATAGAATAAAAATAGAATAAAAGGAACTGGGGTTGGAAATAGTACCTGTGGCAGTTTGGCTCGTTGTTCTGTATGCCCAGAGGACGTTGTTGAGCTCGTCTGCCCACTTGGCCTTGTGCTGCTCCAACCTCGGCCTTATTCCTTCTAGAATGCACTTATTAACAGATTCTACCATACCATTGGACTCCGGATGATAAACTGAGGTGAACTGCAATTTAATCCCATAACTGGAACAGAAATCTCGGAATGAGGAGCAATTGAACTGAGTTCCATTATCAGCCACAATCTGATTTGGGATCCCATATCTGCAAATGATCGAACTGAAAACAAAGTCTTCGACCTTCTTAGAGGTAAGACTAGATAATGGTCGAGCTTCAACCCACTTTGTGAAATAATCCACACCAACAATCAGATGGGTTACACCACCAACCCCTTTCACGAATGGGCCTAAAAGATCCAGCCCCCACTAAGCAAATGGCCATGGTGCTACCAAGTTCGTGAGTTCCTCTGCTGGTTGGTGAGTCAGATGTGCAAAGAATTGGCATCTCGGGCATCTCTGAACAAAGTGAGTGGCATCCTTATACATGTTTGGCCAGTAATATCCCTGCCTTAAGACTTTGTGAGCCAGGGTTCTAGCACCAACGTGGCTCCCGCAGACACCTTCATGTACTTCCCGAAGTGCATACTCAGCTTCGTAGGGATTCAAGCACCGTAGAAGAGGGAGTGAAAAAGATCTCTTATAGAGGACCCCATCAACAAGTGTATACCGAGATGCTTTCTTCCTCAACTTCATTGCCTCCTGCCTGTCCTCAGGTATTATCCCCTCCCGCAAAAAGGAGATAATTGAGTCAGTCCAACTCGGCGTATCAGGGTTTGTGCTAATCTCCATCATCCGAGGCTTCATGAAGCTTGGTTCATCTAAGACCTCCACAAAAACGGATTTGGAACTTAAAGAGCTATCAGAGGCAAACTTGGAGAGTGAATCTGCCTATTCATTCTCAGCTCGGGGAATTTTGCTCAAACAGAATTTTTAGAATTTGCATTTCAGCTCGGCCACCAAGGCTATATATTTCACCATCACAGGATCAACAACTTCGCAGATTGAGTTGATTTGGTTCACCACCAGCTGGGAGTCACTGTATACTTGAATTGTACTGATTTTCAACTCCAGTGCTAACTGTAGACTAAGCAGCAAAGCTTCATATTCAGCCATGTTGTTGGTTGCATCGAAATTAAATTTCAGGGCATGTTCACTTCGGTATCCATCTGGGCCAATCAAGAGAGCACCAGCTCCTGAACCCTTGCTACTAGATGCACCGTCAACATATAAGGTCCAGTTGTTGGGCTCTGGATTAGAGGTTGAAGGACATGGAGTGCATTCGACAATAAAATCTGCTAATGCTTGAGCTCGGATTGTTGATCTCTACTGAAATGTTATCTCAAATTCCCCCAGTTCTACTGCCCACTTAATTAATCTTCCAGAGCGCTCTGGTTTCTGCAGAATTTGACGGAGAGGTTGATCTGTGAGGACGATAATTGGGTGTGACTGGAAATACGGTCTCAGCTTCCTGGCCGAAGTGACAACTGCTAATGCTGCTTTCTCAACTATAGGATACCTCAGTTCTGCTCCGTGCAGTACACTACTGATATAATAGATTGGTTTCTGCTGCTTGGCTTCTTCTCTCACCAGAACTGAACTAATGACTTCATTTGAAATCCTCAGATACAAATATAGAATCTCTCCATCTATGGCTTTAGTCAGCAAAGGCGGTGAGCTAAGATAAGACTTCAGCTCTTCGAATGT